ATAGGCACGTCGCAGCCTCTTTATTAGGGTACAGGTCAAGAAATGGTAATAAAGCAGATGACTGTACTGGAGTATATGCTGGGCAGCATAAACAGTGGGTTTTATTAATGCAAGTTTTTGAGATGTTCGGGTTACAAGGACTAGGAGTGGGAAGTAGCGCCTTAGCGGCGGGAGACATTAGATTTGCTGTTTTGTGCTGTGTATGAGGCGCCCCCAGGTTCGGGGGATTGGCAGGAGGAACACTTGTGGGCGTACTTGCATTGGGAATTGGTACACCCTGTACGGTTGAATGCGAAACAAAATCCGGATCCACTGGACGAAGCCCTGCCACGAAAGGAGTTGAAAGGGTGCTGCTTGGGAAAGCTAGAATTGACCCCTTTTTGGGTCTCAAGGCTGAAGCTGGGGCAAGCGGGGGCGGTCACAAACAGGGCCCACAGTTCGCCGTCAATGATAGCCCAGGATCTATTAGGGTGGAATTGTTGGCGCAACCTGAATTGGCAATCGTATTCTAACCAGCCCTTACCCGCAAACCGCGCTGCGGCCATCCTAATCACATGCATGTACTTAAGGAGTTCTTGGGCCCGCTCGGGGTGCACACCGATAAATATCGAGGAAAAGACAAGAAAAGAATCCGTCCAGCCCAAAAGTAGATGTAATTCGGGGCTTTTTCTTGGTGTCTTTCAATAGTAACTGCCCAGAGTTGTCAAAACTAAGTGTGAGGTTTGAATTGGGGGAACTGTGAAAGTGGCGCTCCAGAAGCAGATCTAATTCAATGAATTCACTTTTTATGATCCTCTCTCTAGTACTACCTAGAATTGTAGCCCCCAAGGGATCACAAACTGAAACTAAGGGACCCTCATCCACCCGTTGTGTAGAGGTGTTGTGCCAAGCAAAAGGAGGCCCCTGAATAGGAATGCCATACTCACCAAGAGGGCGGTGACTCGAGCCAGGCACCACTGAACTTGGAGGGGATCCGACCCCACATGCTCCACCTGGTCGTGGTGGAAGAGATGGTACACCTGTGGGTTGGGATGTCACCGTAGCTGGGGCTCCAGAAACGACCTGCTGAAGGGGAAGAGCATCAAGACTGCGCCTGCTGGGATGAGTTGATGGATGACTAATCGACCGAACGATCGGCGCTGACGATGCTGGAACGGCTGGCGGGCACTCTAGACCGATCGTTTGCGACTGGCATTGGCAAGACTGGCAAGTTCCTGAGGGACCAAGTTGGCTTAATTCTGGCAGTGGAGCGCCGAGTGAACGTTGAGGAAGGGGCCCCTGAGATACCAGCACTGGAATTGGCTGAACGGAGCTCGGAGGGGCCAACGAAGACGCTACACTTGGGGCCGGAACGGGCGACGAGGTCGGCTGAGGACGGCATGGTGTACATGTTGCAGTGCTCGCGCTCTGCGAACCCTGGCCACGAGAGGGCGCTGCTACGATCATCTGACTCTGCTGACTTTTTACCACGGGGTCATCAGGGCCGCTGTTAGCATGTACGTCTGGCGGGCGTGCAGCCAGTGACAGCGGGGCGAGCAATGCCTGCATAGCTCTGGCCTGTGACCGAGTCTGACGTGGAGGACGTGAAGCGTTGGCTGAATTTCCCTTCTTTGCGGCCGCTCCGGTGCTCTCAGGAGCGTTTCTCTTCTGACCTCGTCCGCTCTTCACCATCGAGGATTCGAGAAGTTAGGTTGATAGGCAGGATTTTTGACAAAAATCACGATGTAAACCGAGATGAAATTTTGATGCAAACATGTATGGTGGGGAAAACCAAGAAAGTGACGGCCTTCCCGCGCAAACTGGGAAAGCGCGCGACGAAGCCCAGCCTGTGACTGGTCTGATCCGCATACCAGCTGATCCAGCTTGGCATGGACCATACTTAGAATGCCCGTTCTCACTCCCCCTGGACCCAAATTATGTTCTTCGGAGACGAGCACCGAAAAACTGTATTCTTGGCTCTCACTTTGATAACGATCAAACATCTCGAAGCTACCATAATGCTGGCTTGAAAACATGTACAAAGTCAATTGGCTAAAATCACCAGTTCAGAAAAACTGCTCCTTTAATGAGAATAGTCCTGATCTTCGGCTGAGGATTACTATGAGAACAAAAAAGATTTTTTTTGTCTTCGTTTGATTACAGTTATACCCAAGAATCCAAATATTAAACAATATTTCATAATTTTTAATGTAAATGCAAATAATGTGGCATGGCTTCAAAGCTTTGTGTACGTTTTTCTACATACAGTGGAACGCCCCTATAACGAACATGACGGAGTCCACACTAAATGTTCGGTACAGCGGTGGTTTGGTAGAGCAAAATTTAACTGCCGAACGTTTTGTTGCCATGTTTAATAGCCCCCTCTCTTGTCTAACTGAAGTCTACCTTCTTGTGATACTATGATTTGCTGTTTTCCTGATGTTTTGCCGTTGCATTCACGTTTGAGGTTTCTTGAAATGTATCTGTTAATTATTTTTGTTTTTTAATAAATCTAGAGTTACAAAATTGATATTTAGTTTATCCTAAAAGTCGTTAAGCTACCACTAACGATCGATCTCTGATGCATGCTGTGGCGAACCTCGGTTGATTTGCAACTACGTAATGTTCGGTAGGTTTGTGTACAAAATATTGAGAGCAAAGGACGATGTTCAGTACAGCCAAATGTTCAGTATAGCGGTGTTCGGTATAGCGACGTTCCACTGGACCTCTGAGTGACTTTGTATTGGGAGCCCATGGGGCTGTCAAAATAAAATTGTCATACTGACATCATCAGGGGTCACGTGACATTAGATTAAAGTTGCAGTTTGCTTCCTAGGTTTTGTACACATATTTCTACTATGCAATATTATTAGTCCTGAATTTCAAATATCAAATCAAAATATCAAATAATATTTCATAAATTGTTTTTCAATATAAACACACAAATCATGTGACATGATTTTAAAGCTGCAGTTTTTCTCCATAGGTTTTGTGCACCTTTTTCTGAAGTCAAAGACTAGTGCACTCATAAATCTGAATGACTTTGAATTGGGAGCACGTGTAGTCCATCAACTGATGGAGCTGTCAAAATAAATTTGTCATGGTGACGTCATCAGGGGTCACGTGACACGAGATTAAAGCTGGAGTCTTTTTCCGTAGGTTTTGTTTACCTTTTTTCACTTCACACTTTTATCGATCTTATCGTTGGTTCGCCAGGGGATTACTGTGAGAATTCGAGACAAATCAGAGGAAACTTTCCCTTACAAAAATTACAAAGCTGAAAAATTAAAATTCCAAAACAGCTCTGTGTTTGTCCACAAACACATTTTGTTTTTTCGTTTTTGTTTGTTTTGCTTAGGACCAGGTGGAACTCCTCGTCCCATTGAATTACACTGCCATGAGCCACTTCGCTATGTAGGTGATATGTTTGCCTGGTTACATCAGACAACAGCATCCGAAAAGGAGCATATTCACAGTTTCCTTAAACTTGCTTCATCACAGCGTAAGTAAACTTTGTACCCTTTCCATTGTCCTCTCAGTTTTTCCTAACTCATCTTGTCTGTCTGATTTGTAGTCACCTTTACTTGCAACTAATAAAGTAATTTAAAGATGTACATTTAACCTGTGATTTAGTTCCAATTAGCAGGAAACAATCTTTTAATCAACTCCTTTTGGAATAGGGTGATGTCTCCACTCAAGACTCAAGTGCATAGTCAGTCAATCTGTTTTAATGCATGCTACCCGAATAATAATAATTAATCAACCCTGCCTACAGCAATAGCTGCTCCATTTTGGAGTGCCGAATTACTCGATTAAAAAAAAAATACGACCAACTATCAAAACCTTCCATGATATCCTCCCTCTGTTCATACTGAAAAGCCTGGTTTAGTCGCTGTACACACAGGGGCTTCCCCTCAGCCATGAAAAAATATTCGAGCCGGTCCCTGAGTAAGGCCCATTGAACTGTGTACAAACATCTTCCAGATGTGAGTCCCAAGTGATTGTTTACATCAGGCATGCACTTATCAATGGAAATGCCCTCCAAGCACCCTTTCAATGGGGTGGGGCCCCTTTCATGTTTGTGGCTTGGGCTGACCATAGAGACACATGTCTTACATGCATTAACCAAATCAGCTGTGCTCATAGCCAGTCAGATCTTCGGTTGCACCCCACTTCACCCCCTTCCCCAGCACCTAAAAAAAATTTCAATGCCATTTCTTTTCTTTGGAAGTGTGGAGGACATCCATGTAGCAACTTTGAACCATTTACCACAGCTTTTGGGTCAAAACAAATACAATTCACAACGTTGTAATACCACTCTCCAAAATGGAGCGTCTAACTGGCACCGAGGAAATCAGAGGAAACAATGCTGCTTAGGGTTCAGTGACACAAGATATCATTCTGTTGATCATTATTTATTGTTTAATACAGCAATAATGCAATGAAAATACTATTTCCTTTAAAGATGAACTTTTCTCAGTTCAGTATCTAAGGAGCAAATCAAACTAAATGCAGGTATTGATCCAGTGGGGTCAGGAGGTGGAAACTGTCATTTGCTATGAGACCCCCCCAAAAAAATTTAAAAATGGGGAAAATAATAAAAACTACAAAAGTGCACCATTGCCTTTGTAATTCTTGGATTCACCCCTGAAATGTTGCCATGTATACAGGCACCATCACACAATAGGAATAAAAATAGATGTCATGATGACATCATCACGTGTCATGTGACATTACCCTCAATTAGGATACCTAATGTTACAAGGTATAAGATCATTTGAGATGGTATTTTGCAGAAAGGATGGTACAAACTAGATTTTCCTGATGACTTACACCAAAATTCTTTGACACTTTCAAACCAGAGGTTGATATCACTTAGTCCTCTCATGTTTGTAACTGAAACAGCACAAAGCTGTGGTTGCTCTTAAAAGTTTTTTAATTCTTCATAATTTTTTTTAAATTCTGACTGTACTAATTCTTAACATGTGCTGCTAGGTAAAATATCTCTACCCATAGGAAGTCTTCAACAAAATGGATTTCCAGGAGTGTTTCCTTCACCAGACAAGTCTGGCAAGAAAGCTTTCAGTGGACCCACTGTTACTTCATTATTCCACTACGTTCAACCTTCCCAAACAGTCAATACATTTGCAAATTTCCCACGCATCTAGTGTTATCGCTGAAAACACTTGATCATCCATGGTGCACCCTGACCTCCCACAGTGTATTGCGGTCATGCCACCAATTTCGTCCTTTTCTTTAATAGCACCGTAACATAACGGATATGTCTTTTAGGCATTTTCGAGTTTAAAAGTTTACTGTTCTTGCTACACGGTTCTGTGTCAACTTGATCATCAGTTACTTCTTTTGAATAAAATATTCTCTTGATTTCACCTATTTTTTGGTAAGAGTGTGGTTTTACATATTTTTGGGGCTTTTCTTTCTTCAGTTTCTGTGTCTACGGGCTTTGGAAAATATATGCTAGTATATCAATTTATAGAAACTGAAAAATCACCTGACCTAAAAGAGAAATATCCTGCCAAAAATTGACCCATCATTTCCGAAAATCTAAAATACATGAAGAACAGTGCGATGAGGCAGTCTCGTACGCAGATGAAAGTTTACGGTTTGAAATTTTATGGTAGTCCATCGGTAAATGCTGAAATAAAAAACAGATAAAAATATTTTACAATTAAGTAATAATTGAAAGCAACATTCTCCTTCAATTTCGAAAGATCCTAATTTTTTAACTTACCTTTGCTGACAACAACTGTGTGATGTCAACTCAACGGAATCTGGAAAACCCATCAACTGCAAGGAGGTAAATCTATGCAATGTTGCACAATCTTGTTTTCACGTAAGCACAGGCAGTGAAAACAAACGTGCATGAACAGGGAGACCTAGGTATGATATCGCCGGAAGTGCTGTTAAGAGAATTTGTTTTTTTACCTATCTCCATGTGACTTTTCCTAAATATTACTTGAAGATGACAAAGGTAAAATTCCAACATGAGTGTTTCATTGGGTGGTTTCAGTTAGGAATTATTCTTCCAAAAATTATCGCACGTGATAGGACGGCCCTGTGTAAAATTCCCATAGGAGGACCTTGCGAGGGTTCCGGAAGCTCGCTGTGTGATCTTTTACTTTCAGGCTCTATTGCTCAAGAATACGAGATTTGCCGCTCAATGGTCAATGAAATCTACAAGTTGCCGCAGGACAACATCATGGAATTTCTGGATACCCAGATAGACACCCCAGTTGGCATGATGCAGAAGAAGATGCTGCAGCTTCAACTGGCTGGTTGAAGAGATTTAAAGAAAGGCACGGGATATGCAAACTTACCATGTCAGGAGAGTGCCTATCCATGCCAAGTGAGGATTCCATGTCCGAGTTCCAAAACTCATATCATCGCTACCTAGATGAAAGAGAACTGTTGCCAGAGCAGTGCTACAATGCTGATGAAACTGGTTTGTTTTGGAGACTTGCTACTCAACGAAACTCTCGCCCATAGCCGTGAGAGCAACGCACTGGGCCACAAGCAGGCAAAGGACCAGGTGACACTGCTCTGCTGCACCAATGAAACTGGTGACCACAAGCTGAAAATTACCATGTTGGGCAAGGCTAGAAACCCACAATGTTTTCATCACATTGACCACAAGACCTTGCCCGTTGTCTACAAGAGCCAAGCAAATGCATGGGTGGAATCAGAACTGGTCAAGCACTTGGTTCTTCCAAGAGTTTGTCCCACAAGTGAAACATTTCCTGACAAATAAGAACATGCCTCATAAGGCAGTTCTACTGCTTGACATCTGCTCAGGACACATGCCCAAGAACCCCTTCATGAGCCACTGTGGGAGAATTCAGTGCAAGTTTCTTCCTCCAAACACTACATCGAAGATGCAGCCGATGGACTATGGTGTGATGCAGCCCACAAAGAAAGTCTGCCAGAAACATCTTCTCTGCCAGAAACATCTTCTCTGCCGGGTATTAGACGACAATGTGGACACTGACTTCAGTTTTGAAGTCTGTCACTCTCAAGGACTTATGCTACATGATTGCGGAAGTATAAAAAGTGGAAGCATGGCAAGGAGTCAAGCCAAAATGCATTCAAGATGCCTGGTAGAAGACCTTTGGCACTCCAGTTCAAAGCAACGATACGGCAGAAGATGATGATTGAAGTACCCCTTGCACAGCTGGTTTGGCTGCTTGGAAACCAAGGGAACTTGGAAGGGATGCGTCAACCAGCAGTTACTGCTGCATGGGAAGCCCTCGATGACAATATGCCAACGGATGCCGAAATGGAATGGAGTGATGATGAGATTGTGCAGGCTGTGACAGGAGGGCCTGTTCCAGTGGCAGATCCGATCTCTGGGGATTATAGTGATGACAAAGCAGAGCTTCCCCCACTTGCTACTGAGGCCCTGGCAGGTTTTGGTCTTGTTCTGCGCTTTCTATAAATCTCAGGAAAACATTGACCCCATAACAATCCTCAACACGCAGTACATCAAGAATGTCATCAGATGGAAGAGAGATGAGGCAATGAAGCAGAAAAAGCTGACAGACTTTTTCAAGATGTGTACGGCCTCCATCAGCTTAAAACCAAACGGTTCTTTTCAGAGATCCTGTGCAACTGCTCTGAGCCCCAATCCACTCCCTCAAAAAGGGATAGAAATGTAAATAAAACACAAGCACCTCCTTCTCCCTTCCCTTCATCATGTTGTCATTTATTATACATTCATTTATTTTATTGTTTTTACAAGTACATTTCATTTTAAAAACGACATTAAGACTGAACAGAGATTAATCACGCCTTTTAGGATAAACTTGAAACCAATTTTGTAACTTAATATTTAATGAAAAAAAAATTAAACAGATATACGTTTTTAGAAATTTTAAAACATGAGTGCAACAGCAAAGCATCAGGAAAACAGTGAAGCATAGCATCACAAGAGGGCACACTTCAGTTAGGGGGCTTACCAGTAAGGCTTTATCATTCTGCGGCGTAAAATCGGCTTTTTTCACGGCAAGTCTGCCGCAAGGGGAAAGAAAGTTCTCAAACTGCACACCTGTGCGCACTCAAGCACGCAACGAGTTAAAGAGCTGGCCCAGCCAGATGCTATTGTTGCAGAGCAACTACATCATGAGACACAGAGACATTTACATACTGCATTCTTTCTGCGGACTTGACAATGTTGGAAAGCACGATCGACTCGGAGATACATTTACATATTGTGTTTTTTCTGCAGACCGTTCAATGCTGGAATAAAATGATCAACTCAGAGAAACATTCACATAATACGTTCTTTCTGCAGATTTTAATGCAGTTGACTGTCATTATTATGAAATCAGCCATAACAAAATTCCGGTTATAATAAACACAAGTCTGGTCTGGTGAAAAGGTGCATGTTGCTATGAGGGGAAAATTTGTTAAGCGAAATCGCATTGTACAAAATTCCTGTTACAACAAATGGTTTTTGTGACTCTGTTGCATGAAAAACCATTGTTG